GGAGTGAAGAATTTTTATGTGTCAGTTAATACCGAGAAAAGAAGGATCTAATCACACGCCTGAAGTGCTTGCTGAGCAGCAATAGAATGGTGAACTATATTTACCTCATTCAAGTTACCAAAGAGAACACAGAATCAGGTAGCTTTGTTGTAGGGCTATGATAGGGATGCATCTTTGAGTGACCATAGTCTAGTGTTCAGAACTGGGAGTCTGGGCATATCAGGGCACGCTTGGAAATCTGGTGGCTAGAACCTCTTCCAAAGTCTCCCAGAGCTGAAGAGAGTGTTTTGAAGTATATTACTTTGTATAGTTTTCTTACTGGTTGAATATATATATATATAATATATATATATAAATATATATAATATATATAAATATATATATAATATAAATAAATATATATATTATATATAAATAAATATATATTATATATATAAATATATATAATATATAAATATATATAATATATATAAATATATATTATATATATATAAAATCACATTCTACTGAGATCAGTGTTTTACCAATTTGAGTGAAGTACAGAAACTTTGCATTTAGGTTTTTTATTCTCACTTTTTTTGGGTAATGTTTTATTTATTTTTGAGAGAGAGAATGACAGTGTGAGCAGGGGAGGGTCAGAGAGAGAGGGAGGCACAGGGTCTGAATAGAGCCTCCAGGCTCTGAGCTGTCTGCACAGAGACTGATGCGGGGCTGAAATCCACAAACTGCGAGATCATGACCTGAGCTGAAGCCAGACGCTTAACCTACTGAGCCACCCAGGCGCCCCATCCTCCTCACTTTTAAATATCATTGTCTTGAGTATCAGACAGTGTTATAATTTTTATGCCAATTGCCATATATATAATTTAGGAAATCCATGAGGTTAGTATATTGTATTTACCTCTCTTTCTGCATTTTTCATTGCTCTTTTTACTTCCTAATGATTCCTTCCTTCATTATTTATTTCATAATATGTCCTTTAGCCATTCTTGAAGAGTAAATTTGGCTAAGTGACAAATTCTTTTAGTTTTCCTTCATGTGAGAATGTCTTTATTTCCCCTTAATTCCTGAGGTATAGTTTCATCAGATAAAGAATTTGCAGTTTACAGTAATTTTCTTTCAGCCCTTGAAAAATAGTGTATCCCTTCTTCTGGCCTCTGTTATTTCAGATGAGAAATCTGTTATCTTTTGAATTGACATCCCCCTATTGATAATGTGTTGTTTCTCTCTGGCTGCTTTCAAGATATTTTCCTTGCCTTTAGTGTTCAGAAGTATAATTATGATGTGTCTGGGCATGGATTTCTGTGGATTCATCCTATTTCTAATTCACTTAGCTTCTTGATCTGTGGATTTATACGTTTTGTTTTGTTTGGGAAATTTTTCCATCATTATTTCTTTGAATACTCTTTCAGTCCCACTGTCTTTCTCCCCATATAGGACATCAGTGCTACAAATGTTGGATCTTTTGTTATGGTCTCACGGGTTACCGAGGCCCTGCTAAGTTTGTTTTCACTTTATTTTCTCTCTGTTGTTCAGATTTGGTAAAATCTATGGATTTGTCCTCAACCTCACTGATTCTGTCCTCTGTTGGCTGCACTCTGCTATTGAACTCATCAGCCATTTTTATTATTTCTATTATTTTTCCGTCCTATAATTGCCACTGGTTCCTTTTTATAATTCCTAATTCTCTTCTAAAAATTTTTTTTCACTTGTTTCAAGAGAATTTGTCATTGCTTGTGGAATTTTTATTATGATGGCTACTTGTCAAATAATTCTAATCTCTGGTTCATATTAGAGGATGATCTTTTCTCATTCAAGGTGAGCTTTTCTTATTTGTTTTATATTTTTGTATGATCAATGATTTTAATTGTATCTGGACATTTTGGCTATTATGTGAGGAGACTCTGGGTCTTAAATTTTTTTTATGATAACAGAGATTTAGCGTATCTATTTAACCAATAGATTTAGCATATTGGTCAGAGCCTACTTTTGTAGGCTGTAGTTCCAATGGCAGCCTGATTTTCAGAGACTTGATAGTATTATGTTGGTCCTCTTGATTTGTCTCCTGCCTCTGGGATCCCCACTGGTACTTTCTGGCACTAGCTGAGAAAGTGAAGGAACTTCCCAAGCTGGGTGGCCTGGGGCCTTTAGGTGGAGGAAGGGAATCTCCAGCCTACATGGACAAAAACCACTTTTTGGGCTGGGTGCTTGTTGTGGCAGAATCCTGCTTGCTAATGTCCTCTGTCAAGTGGGGTCTCTGGGTGGGAGAGGGGAGTCTCAGTCTGGTGGTAAAGTTCTCTGGTAGGTTCTTGTTAGGAGAACATTTAGTTCTTCCCCCTTGCTATTTCCTCTGGGCTTGTCTAGAATTGTTGGCAGGATTCTTGCTCAGTTTGGAGGTAGAATAAGGCTATTTGGCCACCTTCTCTTGCTAGATTTGGTGTCAGAAAAGGCTGGGCCTGAGCTTCTTTCTCTTGGATGCCATGCCACTCTGTTGTTCTCTTGGTCCTCTGGTCCCTAACTAATTCATCTTCCTCCTTCTACCTTTCAGGTGTCTCTTATGTTATTTCCAAAGCTTTTAGTCATGCTTGTCAGGAAGGAGCAGAGACAAACAAGTCTACATCATTTTGCTCAGATCAGAAGGTCTCTATGTAAGCTTATATAGGCCTAAAATCTCTCTAGAAGGGTACACAAAAATTGCCTTCCCTGAGGAGGGAATCTGAGTAGGAGAGAAACTCTTTTTTTGTGTATGTGCTTGCATATTCTCATTTTAGCCAGATGAATATTTTATCTAGTCAAAAATAAAATGTAAGAGAAGAAGGAAATCTAATTCAGACTTGCTTTCAGGAGCACAACCAAGGATTACAACAGTGGTCAAGCAGTGTATGCATTCAATAATTTGTAATTTTATTAACCTTCACTGACTTATCATTTCACTATATTGTGACTGCTTTGATCCAGATCTCTAAATATAATAATAATGTTCTCAGTGGATTTTCAGCCTGCTCAAACATTTTGAATAACTTGCAGAATACAAATGTGTAATTTAGATAGAAGTAGATGCTTTTGGCAGCATACTATCACCCTAATCAGCTGAAAAAAATGATATTTGTATGACATTAAAACAAAATTAATAGCACGATGCTGATTACATGAAAAGACTTTAGGTTGTAATTATCAAACTTGCAAACAACTCAGCATAATTAGTGGCTTAATTAGGATATGACCTGAAATTTTAGCTTCCAAAATTAATTGAGGCAATTAAAAGTCACATTTGTAAAGTAAAGTGGGTTTTAAAGTTTACAAAGTAGTTAGATATCACTATTTTTTTCTTAGTTTGGGGAGCATCTTTAGAGGTAGTAAGCTTGCAGTGCAATTACTTTGATTCTAAACCCCCACCTCCAGCATAGTGTCTCAGCCTGAAGCCTTAAGTGTCAAGTTTAGTAACTCTCAGCCATGGCTATCCACCCACAGGAGACTGAGCTGCTCCTCGGGACGCTCCTAAATAACTGGGGAGCAGTGAAACAATGAAAACTGTCTGTCCCCAGCACCTTAAGTGAAATGTAAACTAGAAGACTGATAGTGACTTTGATTAAACTCCTTGACCATTTTCAGGTAACCATTTAGATCCAAATGGCAATTTTCACCTCTGTCATTTATTCTCCAGCACATGCTTCTTGAAGGCATTTCAGGTCCCACAGTTTACCACATGGGTGAAGGTTCCAATCCAGAGCCAAAGAATTTCCCATCAGTAGATAAAAATGGAGAAATCAGTAAATGTTGGTGGACAAGTGATTTGGGAAAAAGTAAATCTAGAATCCTACCTTCATTCCTTATATCAAAATGAACTCCAAATGGATCAAAGATTTAATATAAAACTAAGTTATAAATGTACTAGAAGAAGATATTGGTTAGTATTTTTATTGTAATTGAGAGTGGCTTTTTAAACATGACAGATAAGACAAAATCCATAAATGAAACTTGCCTACTTAAAAATTCTAAACTGCAATCTGTCAAATAAAATACCATAAGTTTTAAAAACCTAATTCAAGGTCAAATCAAGAGAAACTTTCATTTATATTTTGATTTAGTTTTTCTCTCTAAAGGTGCAGCTTTATTACTCAATAAGAAAATAATGAAATACTTGGAAATGTGCATCATGATTTGTGTACAGGGGTATTAAGTATGGGGAAAATTAAAATAACTTAAACTTCAAAAATATGTCATAAAGTAATTATATTACAGAATAGCCATAGGCTGCAGTCATTAAAAAATCAATACTTAGTAATACCAAGATGTTTTTATGATAGAACCTTGTTTAAAAGAAAGAGGGTATCAATGAATCCGATTTGATTTTTTTCTAGACAGAAAAAAAAAAACTAGAAGAAAACAAAATATCAATAATTGCTGCTAGAGATAGAATTATGGATAAATGTTATTGTCTTCATTTTGAGTAATTTCCAAATTTTCTACCATAAGTAAATTATTCTGTGCTCAACACTTTTTTTTTTATTCCTTGAAGCTTTAAAGAAAAACATATTTGAGTTTTTCCAAAAATAGCTAGCTTGGAACAAGATCAGATATGAAAAATAAAACTGAGTACTTGAAAAGTATTGCTGTATAATATAGCAGTTGTGACAAGCCTCCTTCCCTGCTCCCCCCACCCTGGCTTTTAAAAAAAATCTCTACCACATTCCGTGATGGTGTATCATTTGTGTTAAATTAAAACTCCTGGTCATTCTCTGTGATCTCCGTCTCTCTTTCTCTGACATACAGGTTTAGAACACAGATTTCCTTTTCCTAAGGCCCCAAATCATGAGAGCATTCTTTAAAAAAGTCAGTGTCATCATTGTCTATTCCTAACTGCCTATTCTGTAGAACAGGGAACATAAAGCTTCTTGGTCTTGGCAAGAAGCTTATGTCTTTAACTGGGGGCACTTGCCTGTCACAAAATAACTATCACTAGTAGTATAAGAAATCTCATCATTGAACTTCCTCTGTACCTGTAGGTTTTCTTTATTTCTTCATTTGATGCTCCCTTTTGCAGACCAAGAATTTCATATAGAGCTTCTCCAGATGTAGACATAGTCCGCTGTCTTTGGTTAGGTATGTTACATGCCATTTTCTCAGGCTGCAAAAGCAGAGGGGAAAATAGTCATGAAGGTTGTACATACTAGATCCCACTCTCTGAAGAAAAGATTGTTTATTTTTAATCTTTTGTAAAATGACAATCTGAAGTACATTTTTGTGCCAGCCACAAAGGAGAGGAAAAAAGGGTTAGGAAAGCCAAACGTAGAGCTTCAAGTCAAGGTGTTAAAGGCTATAGGCAGCCATGTAAATGGAATATGGCTTTGTCCACATGATTAGAAATGTAATCTAAATACCCAGCTGGTTCAGAATTGTTGAAAATGAATCCTCACAGGTCAGGCATATGTAGATTTTTTCCCCCAGAATTTCCATAGGTCCTTTTATGTATGTTTCCCCAATTTAGCTAGCAATGGAAATAATCTTCCATTTTACTTTGATTCTATTGGCCTAGCCATCGACAGAGAAAGAGTTTTAAAAATAAATAAAAGACAACTTTTGTAAGTATCAGGGGGAAAAATCATCTGGGAGCCAGGTTAGAACTTCTCTGCAGCTATGGATGCCAAAGACCCCGCAGTGTTCATGGATTTTGCACTTGAGATAGATCCTTTCCCTATGGTTTATAAAGAAGGGGTCAGGCTATCTGACCCAAGGAGCCATCTGCCTGCCATGCTTTGCTCTAGGGCAGGGGGAGAGAAGCAAGCATACCTGGAGATATTCCTGCATCTACCACTTAATCTCTCTAAACCTTAAGGTCTTCATTTATAAAAGGATAATAAAGCCCACATCACAGGCTAGAAAAAGATAACTACTTTTATTAAAAGCAGCACTGTATGTAATTCTGAGAGTGCACTGTAGTCAGATTTGGCTTGACCATGACCGGCTGCATGACCTTCCCTATCTGTAAACTGGAAACAGAAGTGTGCCTAAAATCATGAAGCTGTTGTAAGAATTCAGGGTATTTATATATTAAGAAACAAAGACATACACCAGTGTTCATAGCACCATTGTTCATAACAGCCAAAAGGTAGAAACAATCCAAATGTCCATCAACAGGTGAATGAGAATGTGGTACATACACACAATGGAATATTATTCAGCCATAAAAAGAAATGGAATTTTGACACATGCTACAGTACAGATGAACCTTAAAAACATTATACTAAGTGAAATAAACCAGTTACAAAAGGACAAATATTGTATAATTCCTCATATATGAGATACCTTGAATAAGTAAATTTATAGAAACACAAAGTAGAATAGAGGTTATTAGGGGCTGGGGGACATGGGGAATTAGTATTAAATGGGCATAGAGTTTCTGTTTGGGATGATGATGAAGTTCTGGAAATAATAGTGATGATTAGAAAACACTGTGATTGTACTTAATGTCACTGAATAGTACCCTTAAAAATAGTTCAAAGAGTAAATGTTAAATTTTGCCACAAAATCAAAATGAGGAAACTAAAAAATACTTTGATTGCAAGCTCCCCTGACCGGAAGTTCCTTGAAAATTATTGTCCATGTCTTGGCTTTGAGTCTTGTACAGCAAGTGCTGTAAGAGTGAATGCCCCTACCACACTTGCACTCTCTCTCAACAAAATAAATACACTTTAAAAACCAAAAAAAAAAGGAAGACCCAGGCAAAAATCTTGCCTAGGGGCACCAAGAACAAAGGCTTGTTTTGTGGCACAGTTCTTTGTTTCTTCCTCAATTAGCATCCTAGGAAAGGAGTGTCCCTAGAGACCAGAAGGAGCCTAGTCCCCAATTCCTGCCTCACCCAAGGACAAGAGGAGAAGGAATCCTTACTTTACCTGCTACAAAACAAAATCTGACTGATGCTCATACTGACTAGCAGACATTCAGTAAATTGTAGCATGTATTTTCATTGCTGCACTAACTTGTCTTTCTTAGCTACCTACCACAGTTTCCCAGGGAGTAAGCAATTCAAGGCTTGGGGTATCTCACTCATCTCTGTGTTCCAGTCTGACAGGTCAGCCCTATCCTGGAACCATAGACCAGCTGATTATTCACAACTGAAGGAAGAATTGCCTGAGTAACTGACACCCTCCCTACTTCCTTCTCTGTCCCCTGTGTCCTGCTGCCACCACACAGAGACATGCTCAGGATTCTGAAGCTCTGCACCATTCATACACCTCTGGTTGCCAGGAATGGAGGCAACCAGTAGGTTTCCACCAGTCATACTAAATGCCACGAATGAGTGGGTTTGGAAGGTAGGGGTTTCTATATGGCTTTGTGGACAAGGAATAGGGCCACAGTCATCCGACTTGTCTCTTTGAGATTTTCAGATGTCATTAGTTAGCAAGATCCCCAGAGTCAGAAACTAAGAATATATCAACATAATGATTGAAAATGTAGGACTGTAAGATATGGAGTTAGAGGTCACCTAAGCCAACTTAACAAATGCCTTTTGGGAAATTTGGGCCACAGATCACTGTAGCAGACTTTACTTATTAGTGTACTAGTTCTCCTTTCTCTGGGGATGCTTAGGTTCCCGTTGTAACACATGCCTTTCCTGACACTTGCCTTAGTCTTACCTGATCCCAGTTGAATAGATTAAGAGTGGGTACCAAGGCAGACCAATCAGAGTCCTCCCCTAGCATATTTATATATAGGACAATCTCAGATGGTAAAACCAGTAAAATGTAAAATTTAGGTATTGTTGGCTGGCCTGAAATGGAGAGATTGAAACTGATTCAAAGAAGAGGAGCAGTGGCTGGAAGATGGAGAGAGAGCCAGTAGAGTTCAATCCCATGGTTCTGGTTGTTTCAGGGTCCACTTGTAACTCTTCCCCTCCCACAGCTTTTCAATCAACTCTTCCTTGGATTGAGCCAATAAAATTCCTCCCCATACACAAATCTACACACGTTTTCTCTTTTGAGCATATTTTAGCTAGATTTGGGTCACTGTTAACCAAAATTCCTAAGTGTCATGTTCTCTCCGAACTAAACACCACCAGTGGTTCCCCAAGCACTTCCAAACCAGGCTAATCTTAAGTTATTGCCCCTAGTCATCCTTTAAATTGAATGTGGCTTCCTGATACTTGTGAATGGGTATTTAGGGGGGAACAATACTATACTAAGAATTTCAAACAGATTCATTTAGCTGTATCGTGTAGACATTACTCGTACAGATAAAAGGAGCAGTGATAAATCTAGTTTAAGACCCCTTCATAAAGAAAGTTTGTGGTGAGCTATTCAGAAACACTAGGAAGAAATAAAAATAAGACAGATAGTTATTTTTGTTTTATCTATTTATCATTGTATTCAGCATTCCCAAGAAATGGTTTCAATTTGAGGGAAAAAAATGTATTCACTCTTCATCCATCTCTCACTAAATAAGAGAGATGTCATGGCTCCCATAAGTCAACAGTTAGTCCTAAAATCAATTTTAACAAAACATGCACAATTTTCAGTTGTGAGCATAATGCTCCATGACCAGCTTTGATTCCTTCCTACTTGAGCTTTGCTGTCACTAATCCAGGAAAAGGATTTACAGGTCACTGAAGATAATGCTAAACAGATTATGGCAATATCCACAGCAGAAAGTTCAATTGTTTATTCAAAGCTTGCAATGCAGGTCAAGTCTTTAGGGAGATTTCAGACTAATATGAGATACAAAACTGTAAGCCAATAACAAAACTATTGTTTAGAGGTTAAACAAGTACTGAGGATAGAGCAAGAAGGGATTTTCTGGAGGACAGAGATTCTGTTTTGTGCCAACAGAGGCCCAGCATTGTGCCTGGGATATATTAGGTGTGTGATAGATGTCTGTTGGGTAACTAAATAAAAAGTGAGTGGTTTACTTGAATGGGAATGTTAGGGAGAACTTCACAGAAAAGATGAAATCTGACCTGATGATAATACTACCACTTATTTCTGTAGAATTTAGCATACATTTCTTTTTTTTTAAATGTTTTAATGTTTTATTTATTTTTGAGAGAGAGAGATAGAGACATTGTGAGCAGGGGAGGGTCAGAGAGGGATGGAAGACACGAAATCCAAAGCAGGCTCCAGGCTCTGAGCTAGCTGTCAGCACAGAGCCCGACATGGGGCTCGAACCCATGAGTTGTGAGATCATGACCTGAGCCAAAGTCGGGATGCGTAACCGACTGAGCCACCCAGGCGCCCTAGAATTTAGCATATATTTCTATTATAGCTCTTGCGTGTAAGCCTAACCTTGGATCTGCATAGATATGGTCGCCAATGGCTCTCGTGACCATTTATTTGCATAAATCAACAGAAAAGAGGACTTCTGGTTTTGGGGGTTGAAAGAGGAGGCAGGACATTCTGACACGGTGACTGGGACATTTTTTTTTTTTCATAAGACTACTCCATTCAAACTTAACCCAGGTGTAGAACAAGAGAGATGGGGTCAGTTGGGAGCTACCCTCAGTCCTTTAAGAGAATAGTCATAGAAACAGCCTAGGATTTATCCTTCTATACACATTCCTCTTCCCAGTGGAAAAAAGGAAGACAGATTCTATCTCTCAAATAATTTCATACATAGAAACTCACAACCAGGAAAACTTGCTATTACTTTGGTTTATGTATTTTTTCAAATCAGGTTTTTTTTTTTTTTTTTTTTTTTTAGAAATCCAATCACACTGTAATCTATTCCTACTAAATAAAATCCAGTAGCTGACCTGCTTTATGGTATGGATTGAACAATATTCAGTGTGGGTTGTTATAAAGAGTTTGGAAGTTATTATGATTCACCTTCTTTGCCCTATTTCCAAAAGATTTTCTTTCAGACAGTTAAAGTTTGTTGATTAAAGTACTAAAACAAAAAAAGCCTATTTACATCAGTATTGGAACACAAGAAAAAGATAGTTGGTCAATAGTTAGTCACCGTGGTGAGTTGTTAGTGGACTATACAGACTAAAACATAAAGGGACCAAAAAACTGCAAACTTGTTCTCTGTACATCAAACAGCAGCAACATGGTTCCTTTTCTGTCTCTAATCTGATATAGAAACCAGACTTCATACATTATTGATGTAGATGACATCTAGTTTCAAATTCAGCAGTGTAATTCATTGAAAAACTTAGTTGTATAAAAATGTATAAACATAGATATATGCCCTGAGAACATACTAACTACAGAGTGATAATTGAAACATCTTCTAAAAACTCTCCTTAAATAACCTTAAACTAAATAATGGAGCCATACCCTTTTTTAATTCGTTATGTAAAATATAATTTTTTATGAATTCTTTTTTTGTAGCCTTTTGAATTCTAATATGCCAATATAAAATTCAGGTTTTTATTATTTATTCATAGTCCCTCATCTATTAGCCATCCAATGTAGAAAAAAATGTTGTCATGCAAAATTATTAAGTAATTTAATTTTGATCATCCAGTACATGATATTTAATCTTCTGGACTTAAATTACTTTTTGGTACATTACAATGCCATTAATATCATAATTTCTTAAAGCACTGACCTCTAATCAGTTACTACTAAACCACATACAGCTCATCTATCTTTTGGTAATAGATATAACTGAAAGAAGATTCAGCACTCTGATGATGATGGGCATCCAATTCAAAATAAATACTTATTTCAAAGGTTCTAATTCCAGGAGTTTTACAAATGCTGTTTTAAATTTTTCATGTTGACATAAAATGTTCCTTTCAGAGTAAAAGATGCTTCACCTATATCTATTATGTGAATTCTGAAAAGTGGAAAAAATCAAAGTATATCCTTCTTGAAAGGGTTCCTTCAAGACTGAAAAAATGACTGTGGGCAAGGAAAATTAGATCATTAAACACAGCAAAAACCCTTTCAATGGCTTTCATTGGTGAAACCAACATGCTTTGCCATTTTCTTATTACTTCTGTGATTCCTCCATTGAAATCTATTTAGTGAAGCAAAATTTCCTTATTCAGATAACATTGTGTCCTAAAGCTAAACACACATCCAAAATGTTAAGCCTGTGTTTAAAAGTAATAATTCTCCTTAGCATAATTACTCATTATAGAAAAATAATTATCTCTTTATCACATTGGTACTTATATAAACAGCAACTTGAAGATGGGACTCGGAAATGTTAGAAATAACCCACAGTACCTGTTCCTATAACTCCGATTCTGTGTTCTCAAAACAGGAACGACTTGCTGTTTTTAACTGGTCTGGAAATAGATGTGCAAAGAAATAAAGGAAGGCAACAATGAAGGGAGCTATTCCATACCCGTTCCACTGTTTCAAAGCAAAAGGCTACTCCTTTCCATTGTTCTCATTCAGGGTTAAGCGGGTCAGTGGAGTCAGATTACTTTTCATTTGTTACTCCATCAGCCAATTGGTTATCCCTCTGGAAAACATAACAAAGAGAAAATAAAACATGCATGATGGTAAAGGTTGCCATTACAAGGCACCAAGTGATGCCAAAATATATGCTACATTTACTGTTGATCATTAGTCAACTGGTGCTTGACTCAAACAAATGCTGCTATGGAACTGCCTTCAGTTTTCCCTCAGAACTTCTAATTAAGAGAATATGCAGAAATAAATAGTATTGGTGAGGATATAGAGAGATGGGAACCTTTGTGCATTGTTGGTGAGAATATAAATTGGTTACAGCCACTATGGGAAACAGTACAGTTCCCTCAAAACTGCAAAAATTAAAAATTTTTAGTTTAGATAAGATATGGAAACAACCCAAGTATTCATCAATAGGTGAATGGATAAAGAACACACATACACACACAAACACACACACTGGAATATTATTCAGCCATAAAAAATAATGAAATCTTGCCATTCATGACAACATAGATGGACCTAAAGGGTCTTATGCTAAGTAAACTAAGTCAGACAAAGACAAATACCACATGATTTCACTTATATGTGGAATCCAAAAAAACAAAACAAAATTAAAACAGAGACAGACTGATAAGTACAAAGAACAAACTGATGGTTGCCAAAGGAGAGGGGATGAAGAGGTACACACTTTGAATTGTAAAATAAATAAGGTCACAGGATGAAAATTATAGCATGGGGAATATAGTCAATAATATTATAAGAACATCATATGGTGACAGATGATAACTACACTTATCATTATGACAAATTCATAATGTATATAATTGTCAATTCTTTATATTATACGTCGGAAACTAACATAACATTGTATGTCAACTGCAAAAATTTTAAAAATACTGGAAAGACCATGTAACGTCAATAAGGAAGAGACTTTAATTGCTCACTACATTAATCCAACTATTTTCATATTTGAACATTTTAGTCTAATCTTGGTCAAGAGGCACTCAGCCATAATGGTAAATGGGGTGGTTTTAAGAATGAAGGAATTAGGACACCTGAGTGGCTCAGTTAGTTAAGTGTCCAACTCTCGGACTCTTGGTTTTGGCTTAGGTCATGATCTCACGGTTCGTGAGATTCTCTCTCTCCCTCTCTCTCTCTGTGCCCTACTCTCATGCACATGGGAGTGTGCACGCTCTCTCTCTCTCTCTCAAAATGAATAAATAATAAACTTAAAAAAAAGGAATCAAGAAATCGCTTGTTCAGTCAATGCTCTAGGGGCACCTTGGTGGCTCAGTCAGTTAAGCATCTGACTTCAGCTCAGGTCATGATCTCATGGTTTGTGAGTTCAAGCCCCACATCACACTCTGTGCTGGCAGCTCAGAGCCTGGAGCCTATTTTGCATTCTGTGTCTCCCTCTCTCTCTGCCCCTCCCCTGCTTACTTGCTCTCTCTCTCTCTCTCAAAATAAATATTTTTTGAAAAATTAACAGAAAAATGCTTTCATATGCAACAAAAGATCAAACGCGAGGACAATTCTTATGATTTTGACTAAGATCCTATGACTGAAAAAGTCTTAAATGAAATGGGTATTACTCTGAATTTGGGACAATGGCGTCTGATTCCTGAGGCTGAAGGCAGAGTTTAAGTGTGTTGCTTTTCACAACGTGTAGGAAGCCTTGGGTTATTGTGTGAAAACATTTCAGAGCAGTCTTGTCTCTAGATAGCATTGATTTTTTTTTTTTTATATACAAAGGAATAAAAGGCTATTTCCCATAGATCTTGACTTCCAGCCAGAGTTTAGGAAGCAGCCTATCATCCTGCAGAGAAGTGGGTGGGGGACAGAAAGCTAAAGAGATTTAAAACTAAAATCACATCAGCTTAAGGACAGCATTCTTTGATGAAATGAAAATAATTGCTATAATAATATGATGAGATTATGCGTGACTGTTTTTAAAAAGTACAGTTTCTGTTTCAAATTCAGTTTAATATTTTTGGTAAAATTCATTATTTTTTGATAGTTAACCACTTCTTAAATCTTCTTAATCCTTACTTTAAAATTTTTAATATATTACCTAAGCAATAAGTTCTAAAAGTCAGTATTGCAAAACTCCTGTGTGAAGTAGAACTGTAGCTGTGTTTCAAAGAGAAAACCCAGTTTCTATTTCATCCTAGTCATTCAGCAGTTAGTCACCTACAAGATTCAGACACTGGGCCAAATGCTAGAAATATACCAGTAAACAAAATCAAATGTAAGCTCTGGGTTTGTGGGTCGCAGAGTTACAGCCTACCAAGAAAGGTGGATATTAATCAAATGATCATTCAAATTAAGTATATACAAGAAACTTTGGCGAGATGTTACAAGACCAATCAAATCAATGTTAATAGAGGTCAAAGAAACCTTCCCCGAACAAAAATAACCAAACAGAGATCTGAAAAGAACTAGATGAAGGGGTTGCTGGTAGAGGCAAAATATATTCGGGGCAGTTGGAAGAGCATTCTCCACTGAACATACTGTCTCTGGATGCTTAAATTGGAGAAATAAAGAAACGCACTGACGTGTGCTCTCATACGTAGGATATCAACTCATACCGATACATATATGGCCTCTGATATGTTATCTAAAAGGATAGCCAGAGATGAATGGGATCATATACCACCTAACCAAAGAAGGCTTTCTAGGAGTGATGAATTTCAAATGATGTTTGAAAAAGGAAATAACTCATGGCAAGCACACAAATAATTCCTTGATACAAAAGGCACTAAGTGTATTATAGAAGTATTGCCAATTGAATCATTCCAGTTTGAAGAGGAGAGCTTAGAAGTTATTCCATGACTAGACAAAAGTGGCCTCTCTGGGAGGTAGCAAATTGGAAAGAGAACCATGTGTGTGGTGAAGAGGGAGTAGTTTACATGCCAGTTTTCCCTGTGTATTCTATATATGAGGTCTTTACCATTCTCTGAGGTGCTCCCAGAGACCGTTTACCTACCTCTGTCTGTTACTGCATGGGGTTAGTGTTATTATAAGAAATAACTAGTACACCAGCAGAGAATCTGCAGCAGGTACCAGATGAATCTGTATATTCAACCAAAATAATCTATCAACCACAAAAATTAGACGGGCACCTGGCTGGCTCATTCAGAAGAGTATGCAACTCTTGATCTCAGGGTCGTGAGTTTGATCCCCATGCTGGATGCAGAGATTATTTAAATAAATAAAATTTAAAAAATTTTAATCATACAAATTAGAGTACACAGTATTTCATTTAAATTTCATATCTCTGCAGGTGCAACTATTACTTATTTTTGAACATGTGATGTGCAAGGGCGCATAGCCCCAACAAATCCTAATCAAAAGAGCTGAACACAATGAACAAAAGCAGAATTATCCATATCATTGTTACTATTTTTATTACCTCTCTACATTGTTTGTGTTATTATTACAGTGGAATTCAGGCTATCATTCTGTAGATTTCATTTTTTAATGTTTGTTTATTTTTGAGAGAGAGAGAGAGAGAGAGACAGAGCTTGAACAGGGAAGGGGCAGAGAGAGAGGAAGATACAGAATACAAAATAGGCTCCAGGCTCTGAGCTGTCAGCAAGAGCCCGACTCAGAGCTTGAACTCAGAGACTGCAAAATCATGACCTGAGCCAAAGTCAGACACTCAACTGACTGAGCCACCCAGGCATCCCTCATTCTGTAAATTTCAAATGAAAGAGTCTTTTGGGCAAGCTTCATTCTGTTAAGTGAATTTAGAAAGGAAAAAGCCAGGTGATTGCTTGATTGTGTAAAATGAAGAGGCTCTTGGCTACCACACCAGTGGTACCTCAGACATAACTACAGAATAATCCTGGCATTTCTTTTGTAAAATCAAGTGTTCATATATGTTGTAGAAGAACAAATTATCATCATAGTTTTCCAAAATTAAAAAAGAGAAAAGTTACTAAGGGAATGACATTTTAATGTGCCTAAATCTATAATGTACATAGAAAGAATTAGAATATAGAATCATAGGAGGCTAATGGAGGAAGAACTAGATGGGAACCCTTTCTGGAATAGCTTAGAAAGACTTTAAGAATTCTGATGCATAGGCCCCAACAGATTATTCTGAAGCAAAATCTCAGAGTTGGACTACACTGAGGCATTTTCAGGGGTCTGGGTATTTCTAAACAGCTGCCGAGGTTGAGAGCCACCGTTCATCACTTCCCTATTCACCAGATCTTATGGGCAGAGACCTCTCAGGTAAATAACATGGAAAATATCTGCCAACCGAGCATCTCTCTGGAGGAATTTTCCATTGCCTGGGTTTCCTAAGAAAACAATTACTGAAGATAATGGTATCTGTGTTACTAAACAGAAAGTAGAGTTTGACTTTGCATAATTTAACTTAGAAAGGACTATCCAAAGACAACATTCCTATTTCTTGGACTTTGGGCAAGTCACTATAAGCCTGTGTCTTCTGTGTAAAACAGTGATGGAATATGAGCCTTTTTACTTCTCAGACCTTTTATCAAAGTCTACTACAGTATGCCAACATTATGCCAGGAACTTTTATAAACACAGATCTAATGATTGTTTTCTAGGGTTAGGGTTTGAGCAATTATTAAGAAGTTACTCTCTCTTGCCCCCTAAAATTGGAACACAGTACACTGGTAGTGCGTTAAGAATTTGAATGTGCAATCCTGGTAGATTTCATCTGAAATCTATAATTCATTAGTCGGTAGAATCAGTTGTACAACAAAGGGAAATTGCTCCCCTACTGTTACCCATTGCAGAGCACTATATTGGAGGTTGTGAGGGATTCGGAGGTGGTGACGGTGATAATGATGATGAGAGTAACTAACTCATTAACTAGATTATCTCACTGAAATCCTACAAAAGTATAAGGTGGTACTTTCATATCCTTATTTTACAGAGGAGGGATGTGAAATTATTTTACAGAGTAGAGGTTATAAATGAATTACCCAAGTTTACCAGTCAGTAAGCAGTAGACCCAGGCTTTGAAACCAGCTGGCGGTTTCATGGTCTAAGTTCTATCTAACTCACTTCAGA